GGGGGAAGAATTAGCCCCCGTTGGCTTGGTGGTCTTGCGCAGCATGCAGCACCTCAAAGAGTGAAAGACCGTGTGGACACGGACTAGAAGAGGGGTGACCCGGTGGAAGAGGTGACAGTGTTTTGTCAGTGCTACCTGGCAAGTAACAGAGAGAGTGGCACCCACAAATTCCTAGTCCAAGCAGTGACGGACTGAGGGAGTCCCTCAGCAGTAATGGAGCCTTCAGCTGAAGCCTGGCTCAGGTGTACCCTGAAAGTCCTCTTTTTCACGTTGTCCCTCCTTCTGCCGAAGTATCACGTAGGGCCGTCATCAACAACTGCTTCATTGTTTTGGACAACTTAATGTTGCGAAGGCCAGTTTTTGCCAGCTCGCGCTCCTTTCTTTGCCTGGTGCGAGTGTCAGTCAGACCCTCTTGCTATTTCCGTAGTAATTTTTTTAGCAGCTAACTAGAAAGCTTTCTACTGGTGTGGCAGGCAGCCCATCTGTCAGTTGTTATATTTCTTTGAGTATGTGTGGAAAGGGAGGTCCATTCCTGTTCTCTGTGAGCTCCTTTGTTTCAGAAAAAAGTTTTTTTTTTTTGAGGGGTGGAGTGGAAAGGAGCAGGGGGATGAATGTTTATGCTACTTGTGCATGGTTATTGGGAAGCTTGGTGCTTGCCCATGTAATAACCTCGTTTGCCCTGGTCTTCCGGACTTAAGTTCTCTTGATCTATGAAACATGTACAGGAAAGGCTTCAAAAAAGGGGAAATTAAAGGTAGGCAATTGGACTAAAAGACTGAATGCTGAGTTTAGTAAGAAAAGCTAGGTGCTCATCCCTTTTGAAAATCGTTTTCCTACCTTGAATTAGAAACTTGCTACAGAAGTTCTAGTCTTAACGTACGCCTTACGGCTTTTTTGAAAATTGTAAACCCATCTTCAAGTTTTGTTCTGATGGTCTGTTCACTCTCCTGACCTCCAAAATATTCTACGGAAGAGAATGCATTCAAAAACTAGTTTAAATTCTACTTTGGTCTTTGCATTTCCCCTGAGATTACGTAAATGCTTAGCCTACATTTTTAGTTATAACTGCTTCCTGCAGCAAGGGCTGAAGGAAATGTTCCAGTGTGACTTCAAGCTAAATTTATAATGACATGAAACAGGATCGTTAGTTAAGTCATGCCGTGTTAAATCGTGTCTTTATGTAGCACCTCAAATGCTATTGTATAGCATGTAAAATGCAAAAACCAAGTAATTTTCTTCATCTCATTTTGGTGTAACATACTAATTTCTTTGAAAAGAAGAATTTTTCTTTTTTTATTTCTTGTTTTTCTTCCAGACAGATTTTAGGATATGATTTACATTACAAATATGTTCCTAATAGGTGTCTTTTTTGATCCCTGAATGTGGCATACTACCTGAAGTGCTGAAAAATACTATTGCGGATGTTGGAGAGTACTACCTGTTGAGGAATTTATCAGTTCATGAATTGGTTGCTCACGAATTCATTGATGCTTTTGTGAAGAAAGGTAAGGAGGTAATCAGAACATGACAGATGCAGTAATAGTGTATATTTTTCATGCTTATTATTATTTATTCTGAAAAGTATTTTAAAGGAAGGGAAGAAAAAATACTAAGAAAATTCTGTATTATTTTCTTTATCTGCTTTTTTCTGCTTGGTGGCGCATCAATATTTGTTTACACCCAATGGGTGCAAAACTTCTGTGACTGTTCCCTCTTCATTTCTCCCTATTCCATCTTAATTCTGCAAGCCAGCTGTCAAGAGGGCTTCCATGTATCCTCACACCTATTTATCTTCTACATCTCACCTTTATGCAGATTCCTGCAGAAATCGGCTCCCTTCTCCCTTTCTGATTCCTTCATATTTCAACACAGAGCTGTGTTAGCTGTGCTGTGCAGCAGGCAAGAGAAAAAGAGGAAAAAATACACTTTTGGTGGGGGGTGGGGGGTATTTTGGGTTTTTTTGCTAATGGAGCTGTAGCGGCTTGTACATATGCTGTAAGAGCAAAGAGGGTGTAAAGAAAGATGCAGGCTCTTCCCAGCCAACTTGCTACTGCATACTCAGAGCATGCTGTTTTCATCGAGCAGGCCCCGCTCATTTGGCTTATAAATGTTGTACCCTTCAGATGACTGTCAGGGAGAAAAAAAGCTTTAAAGGGAAAAGAGAGGAGAAAAGAGAACATGTGGGTGAAATGGGAGAATGAGATCCATTACTTTCTAAACGTGGGACTCCTTTTTGTATTTCCTTCGGTCTCATTAATAACTCTTATGCCAGTAGTTTTATGGAAGAAGTATGACATTTGTACACCAAGTTTACAGGATCTGACTCTTGTATTCTTAAGAACAAAATTGTAGCAGATAATGCTGCAAAAGGTGTTTAGTAATGTGAGCATCTTCCACCTTGTCTTCATGTGAACTAAAAATAGAAATGTGTCTGGAAAAAAATGCGGCTTTCCATTTGCTGAGTGGGGAAGGTCACAGGTGGAAAGAAAGTGTTTTCATATTGAGGCATGTCATTAATATTATCTGTATTTACAGGTCCTTTAAAATAGTGCCAGTCCAAGGTTTATAAAAATAATAACAAAATGCTATTTTGCTTGAGAAGGTGGAAGAACATTAGTTGATGAAAACACAAGGGTTTACAGTGATTGAAATGGTATTTGGCATATTTAATTATCTTGAGGTGAATCTTTCATATTGTCATGTCTGTCTTTAGAGACTGTGTAATCTCATGGTTTTCTGCTTTACTATTAAAGGTTCATGCTACGCACTTACCTATAACACAAAAATTGATCAAGATAATACTGCAGCTCTGCTACCAAATGGTATGTTTTGTTTTGTTTTTAGTAATACATACATATTGATTATGGTCTTGGATTTTTTTGTTTGGGTTTTTTTTTTTTTTTCATTTGGAATGATGTAAACTGGAAAATGTAATGCCTACTGTACTTGCCAACCTTATTAGAAATATGTTTGAATCAGAAAGTATTCGTTTTAACTTATTTTTTTCATTCATGCTGTTAAACTATTTATTTCATCTAAAGGAAATTTAAAAAAAAAAATTGTTTCACTTATGTGTGGTATCAGATTGTCAGTGCTTCAACCATAATTGCAGTTGCTACGGAGGATTATTTTTGTGAAAACATTGCATTCCAACTTCTTGTTTACTACTGGTCTTAAAGACAGAATTTGTACCAAAAAAGAAAATTATCAGCACTGCTTAGGAACACCTTTTAAATATTCAGTGTTTATTCTTTGAGAATTGTGTGTTAAAATACTCTGTTGCAGTTCCATCACAGTTTTATGACAAAATGTTCCATCTCAGGTGGGATTTTACATGCAGAGAAAATAATGAAGCTATTTTGGGCTTCAAATATGTCTTCTTATTTCCGTTTAACAATATATCAGCTACAATAGAAACACAAATTGGTCTATCGGCCCTCTAGCCTAAGACACTGTAATATGACAGGTGCCCATCAGGGCATAAGTAAATTCAGATTCTTCAGAGGAGGAATCCGTTTATGTGCTCTGTTAGCGCAGTCCGAGCAAAATGGATACCTGATAGTGATTGAGTTTGTATGATACAGTTCTTACAAGCTATGCACAATTAATGCAGAGACAGCGTTACAGTTCCTGTTGATGTCATTATCTGAACTCTTCAGCAGCGGCCTTACTTGTTTGTAGTCTATATTATACTGTTCTTGTACAGTAGAATTGAAAGACTCTAGTAGAGATCTGTTGTGTGAAATTCTGTACCAAGAGGCAGCTGCCAGATTTGGTTTATGAACACGGAAGTGGAGTTGTTCCAGCGCATATCTGCTCATCACTAATAAGCATAGTTTACTCAATGTGAGTAGTCCCACTGGAGTTGGAGGAACTGCTGTTGTTACATTTAGTTGAGCAGTGCACGCATGACTGTTAGTAAGTCAGGCCCTAGTGTAAGGTAGTGTTCAACCAACGACACAGCAAATGCTAGGGGACAAGTGGAGGAAAGACTGAGGCAATAAAGTGAGGTAGTGCAGTAAAAAAGCTATGACTATCTCAGGAATAATACTACACTTTTCTCTTTCTAGTTCATAAGACCTCTTTGATAAAAAAGCGTAATTGAGTTATAACATTTTTTTTTTAAGGGTTAATCTTCTAATCCATCTAACTGGAACTAAGGAGTCTGGATTACATTAGTTATACCATTGATCCAAAGCTAACATTGTATAAGATACACGGTTCTCAGAAGACTTCAAAGGGAACTAAGTAGAAGGTTATTTGTATTAAAGTTTGTTTTGTTTATAGGAAAACTAATTCTATCAGTGGATAAGGATACTTATGAGGAACTTGGACTGCAAGGTCGCCCTTCTCGGTATTGTGGCAAAAAAGTAATGAGATATAGTAAGTATTATTTATATTAACAGTGCTTATTGCCGGTCTGTCTGTGAAGCACCCTGTTAGGATATTAAACCAGCAATGCTGAAACTTCCCTTTCCTTAAAATTGGTTAATGTCTAGGTCGTATTTATCCAGATGCAGATACAAGGACTGCATGAAGAGGAAAAATACTTTTTCCAAATAATAAAGCAGTTATAAGGAAACAGATGCATGATCTTTTGGGTATTCTATAAAATTTTTAATTTCTGAGTTTTTCATTGTTTATACTGGAGTGATGTAGGACTCAAGAATTTTTGTATACTGTGCACAGTATCTATGCCTTCTGATTTAAATCGGAAAATACTAAACTAATTAAGGTAGAGCTTAAAATTTGCACACTAGACAAAAAAAGTCAGTGAAGAGCTTCACCCAAGACTGCTTGCTTGAAAAGGAGAGTTGTATTACATTTGACACATTTAAAATGGTAGTCTCCATATACCAAGTACTTGGAAAATGTTGTAATTTTTTAACAGCTGCAGAGGAGACATACTGAGTGTGATCTTTGTTAATTTTTTTTTGGTAAATAATTTTAAAAAACATGAACACTGTGTCATCTCAAATGTATTAGAACCTGCAGTAGTTGATAGGTAGTTACGTAAAAACTTTAAAAAGGGAAACTTGTTAGCTCTAATAAGAATTTTGGCAAAATGGGACATCATTTTACTATTCAGTTTGTCAAGTAAAATGTATGCAGAAATTTCCATCTGAAAAATAAATGTAACTTTTAGCCTGGGACCAATTAATCTAGAAAAAAAGTGGAAAAAGCATCATTGCCATATACATGGCTTTTGGTGTTAGAAACTCTAGCTTTTTTAGTGCTAATAGCTTGCCTAATTACCAAGATATTTTTAAGGCACTGTTTTGGGAGTTCTGTCACTGCCATTACAAAAGGAATCTGTCCCTCCACTCACTAGAAGGCAGTTCCAGATTATATCAAAATAAGGACAGCAGGAGGTCAATATTTATGTACATAATGGGGACTCATATTTGCATAATCAAATACTTTATAAAGATGCTGTGTATGTGAAAAGGAAGTTTAATGTTCTTCGGTTTCTCTGTGTTCTTTTAGTTCTTAATGAATTTAATACTAAAATTTATTTCAATTGAGTAACTATTGCTTTTTTACATTTTTGCAGTTATAACTATTGACTTGACTGATTCTGGCTTTCACCCTGATAGCAAGAAACATAATAGAGTGCTTTGGGCCTTGAAAGAAAAGAAACCTTTAGAATTTGACTTCCTGCTGTCTTGGTATAGTACAGGTAATAAGAACTAAAAGTAAAACTAAAATGTGGCTGACATGAAGTCCAAATATTTTTAGTTTACTGTTCTTTTCTAGTGATTGTCCAAATGCATTTTTAGTGGATGGAAAAGTTAGATTAAAATGTGTTTAGGTGGGATTTTTTGTTTGTTTTGTTTATTTGGGTTTTTCGGGGGGGGAGGGGGAGGTTTACTTCCTACACAGCAGAACATTTCAGTTCAGGAACACAACAGTGATTCGTAGGAGATTCATTAGTTGCTTCATTTCCTTGTCTCTATGTTGCCCAGGCTTTCTGGTGTAACTTTGCCTATTTGATAGTGCTGCCTCTTCTTTATAAATCCTGTGACATAAATAACCGTTATTAATACACTTTTTTTCTTTAGTTTTTTTATTAGTACATGTAAGTTACATATTTGGTGTAGTACTTGAGATGGGGAACTTCTCGTTTCATCAGTAGTTGTAGGACATGTGCAGAGTCCCTATTTCTGTCATGTGCTGTGTACGCTGGTATACACGCAGTCTGTTATTTTATCATTTTATTCTCAAGCACTTGTTTGAGATTGGAGCAGAGTGAGAGGTGGTTGTTATAAGAAATTGTATTGTCTCAAATCACATTTCTTCTAGAATTCGTTTACCTACTGTTTTCTGATTACATTAATTTTTCTTCTGGGATTTAAGTATTGTTCTTCCTCTGAGGGTCACTTTCCAAAGTCCTTGGTTGCTTGTATTACCTCAGAACAGCCTGTATCTAGGGTTATGTAGCATTTGCATAGAATTGACAAAAGCTGCAGGAGCCTGTACTGCAAAAAAATGTTTTTCTTCATCATAGCTGTGTAGCTTTTAGTGTGGTTCTGCTTTGAGTCACGAAGAAGTCTCCATACTAATGAGAAGGGATGTTACAGAGGTCCCTGAGAATACTTTCCCATCTGCTCTTTACATTGTTACTCTTGCCTGGCTCTTCAAGACCAAGTCTGAGAGGGAGTTACTGATCTGAGAAATTAAAACTGCTTACAAGCTCCTTTAACAGTGTCCCATGTTCACTTTAGTCCTTCACGTTTCACGTCTCCCTTTTTGAGTACTAATCATGCAACAAGGATCTTCCCTTGTTTGTCATACAGAAATTGTTTAAAGGCTTGCAATTCCCGTCCTTGTAGTCTTTGGGAACGAGGCACAGTGAAGACTGTTGCTACCATAAATGGTGACATAAATCCAACTAAGGTGGCGGATCTTCAGGCTCAGCTTGCTTGGATTTATTGACCCTGGGCAGAGAGCAAAATGCCTTTAGGGCCGGTATGTTTCTTATGTTTGTTGCTGCCAGCGTAGCAGTGTTCAGGAAGAATAGCATTCCTATTCCTCACTTTCTTATATCCAAAAACTGGGTCAGGTCAATAATTTCCTGAATATAGAGTTAAATCTGAATGCCTTTCTGTGCAGGAATCTTGTGCTCATAACACATGAAAGACACTTAGTTCCGTAGTACTGACAAAAATAAAACTTTTATAGATTTTTATTAATAGACATGAAGTATTGTGTAGATTCTGCTGGAAGGGGAAAAGAGGGCATGTGTTTTGTTGAGAGAATCCATGTCCTCTGTGAACATTCTGCTTTCAGCCTTCCTTCTGATAACTGGTGTTTCTTGCTATGGCCAGCACTGCTGTGTGTTACGAATGTAAACATTCGTGTCACTTTCCAAAAGCAGGATTTTTTGTTTTCGTACCCGTTTTTCGCACTTAGTGATTCTGGCACCAAAAGGAACAGAAAAAGGGAGTATGGAGTGTCTCGTGTCTTTAATGACAGAGGCAAAATAACCTTTTCTTCTCTTTTCTATTGCTGTAATTTCTGTGACAATTTTAAATGTTTATTGGCTGAAATTCACTGGCCTCCAAAAAACTTTGACAACGTGCCTGGTTGTTGTTGACATGGAAAGCTATGCTGTAGCCAGAGGAATTGTTCTGTCGGAGTCTTGACAGCTATAGTCTTTGAGGACTATAGCTGAGGCTCCCATATGGAGTGGGCATTTAAAATGTATAATTTCTTATATTTGACTGAGAATTCTAGGGCAATATTATACGTTCTTTGAACCTGTTAGTCTAACAAATGCCAATAGGAAGTACACTCTGAAGGAAGATCATCTGTTCTAGCACACTTCAGAATTAAATCTATCTATATAAAAATACTAAATTAACAAGAATTAAGTGGCTGCCTGTCTTTGTCACTGTGCCCTTTGGTACTTGGACAGCCTTTTTTGAAGAATGACTAAAAAGGACCAAGTTAGCCCTCCTTTTTCTACTTCCCGATGTGATTGTCCTTGATGAGATAAATACGGCTGATGGAGTTTAGGCAGTCCATAATTTTTGATAGCAAGTCTTGGACACTGTATGGATGACAGGAACATATCCTGTTCTTGAATTTCTTCTGTTCATACATGCCTTTCCTGAAGTATTTAAATGTTATTCTGGACTTCAGGCTTCTCATGAATAAGGTATTATGTCTTGGTTGCCTGGAGACCCATTGTTACTTTATGAAAATAGAATACATTATCTGGAATTTCAAATTTAGGAGAATTGATTCCACGTCAGTTATCTTACTGCTTCAAAAAGGAAGTTGGTTAACATCTCTTAATTTGCAATATGCTTGCTTAGGTTAGGTTTTTAGTCTAGGTTAGGTTTTTAGAATTTTACCTGCTGTTTTGGGTCACTTACTAGAGTGAAGAAACTCGGCCTTTCCCACAAGTCCATCAAGGTACATCTAATTGTTACAGCCGTACTGCATTTGAAGACTTAACACTTTTTTTTTCTTCTCTGATCCTAGTAAAGTGAGATTTGTGATATAGTTTGATTTCTCTACACTCCCCCCTTCCTTCTCTCTTCAATCCTTGTCCCCCAGACTATCCTAGAATTCCTCTTGACTGATAAATCTGTTCTCAAACCTGTAGTCACCTGCTCACTTCTCCACTGTTCAGGGGAAAATGGTGTTCTGGGGTGGCAGACACCTTAGCCAGGTGGGTAGGAGGGGCTCTAGTCTTGATGACTGATTCTGATATTTTTCTGAGATAATATCACCTTCCAAATATACCTTATCTGAAGATGATTTCTCAATTTACTGTAAATCAAGAATTTTTCTCAAAAACCTTATGGCTCCTAAACTAAGTTTGCCATCACACCTAGGAAATCAAGTATGTGGTCCTTAGTGATGGGATAAGAACTCTCAGAAGGATTCTTACATATTCTTGACCTCAGCTGAGAGAGCTAAGAGATCCACTAACCTGATATGCTGGATAGAAGGCTGAGTGCCTTTTAGGACAATGAAAAGGGAAACTTTCTGCAGTTGTGAAGGCATGTTCCAGGCAAATTTATCTGACACTATAGCTTTTTGCAAAGTATTCCTGAGATCCACAGGAATTTATTCCATTGGAGTTGTTCGTGATTCTAGAAGCCATACTGTCTCTAGGAGGCAGTTCTTAGTGAACTAGTGATGCTAGGATCCCTGTAGACACTCGGTGGTTTTGGAGGGAATACTGCTGCAATTCATTTGAGCGTAGTTCCCTTTACCTGATCTTAGAGATGCATTATCTTTGTGTACATCTACCACACGTGTTCTCCATCTCAAATTGCAATGCCTGAGGAATTTCTAGAGATGACCTAATGGTATAAGGCATGCATTGTCCTGCTACAGCAGCGAGTACCTGTGCATGAGCAGGAAGGGAATGTACATATGGACACTAGTAAGGCAATATGTTCTCTGGCCTCGTGTATATAGGCATGGGTATACTTACAGTGTGAGTGCATTTGCAGACCACTTTGTCTTGGGGAGCAGTTAACGTGTTCCTGTTCCCTTTCATGTGTTCTTTTTCAGGAACACTCTGAATTCCTCTTTCTAATGAGTTCATTTTATTACATGCCCAGTTAATTCTGCTTGAATTTTCTATTGACAGATCTATTCTTGCTAGTTAAATAGTAAATTTACTGAGCTATACTGAGTTGCTGGATCTTGCACTAATTTTTATTTCCAAGAAGATAAGGAAGCTGAAGATTTCTATGGCTTTTGCCAGAGGTAGCAATGTGTAAGCAGTTCTACACGCTGCATTTTCTTGTATACATATGCTCAGGTTTCATGTATTCAGTGCTCCTTTTGTTTAGTAGTTTTATAACAGCTCTTTGTGGTGTTGCGTTGTTAAGGTGCAGAGGGATCAACGTTGATGTCATACTTTTCAAAAAACCAAATACAGGCCCTGAAGCCAAAAATAACATTCAGCACATTAAGGGACTTGCAGTGTCCGGTGTTACAAAGTAACGAACTACAAGGCAAGCCGGAGGAGTCCTGCAGTACGGAGGAACTGTTTGAATGGCTAGGTGCTGTCTTGAGTCAAGTTAGCTTGTAAGTATATGGATTTGTTTGATCTTTAAATACATTTTAGGTAAGGAAAGCCACAATTTATTTTAAGGAAGAGTTGAATAAGAATTAAGAAAGACACGTTTCTGTAAGTGGTTTAACCCGAGCCAGCAACTAACACCACACAGCTGCTCGCCCACCCCCGCCCCACTCCGGTAGGATGGGGGCGAGAATCGGGAGGGCACAAGTAGGAAAACTTGCGGGTTGAGATAAAAACAGTTTAACAATTGAAATAAAACAAAGTAGAACAGTAATAATAACAGTGATAACAATGACAATAATAGATTATACAAAGCAGGAGATGCACAATGCAAGTGCTCACCACCTGCTGACTGACGCCCTGCGTGTCCCGAACCGCAAGAGCCCCTCTTTCCCAGACCATGCCTCCTAATTAGATACTAAGCATGATGTCACATGGTATGGAATATCCCATTGGCCAGCTGGGTCAGCCACCCTGGCTATGCTCCCCCCGCAGCTCCCCACACACTTGGCAGAACATGGGAAGCCGAAAAGTCCCCAGACATGGAAAGCCGAAAAGTCCCCAGTGCAAGCGCCACTGGCAACAACCAAAACATCAACGGGCCATCAATGGGTTCCTCTCATACCAAACCCAAACCACCCCTAGCTACTGGGAAGAAAGTTAACTCTGTCCCAGCTGGAACCAGGACAAAGTGGGAAGTCTGTTATGCACTTAAGTGTTTGTTGTAGTCTTGAATAACTTGCCTGTGTTTGTAGGGGTACCCATGTGTAGTGGTTTTGGCTGGGATGGAGTTAATTTTCTTTGTAGTAGCTGGTGTGGGTGCTGTGTTTGGATTTGTGACCAAAACAGTGTTGATAACACAGGGATGTTTTTGTTATTGCTGAGCAGGGCTTATGCAGTGTCAGGGCCTTTTCTGCTTCTCACACTGCCCTGCCAGCAGGGGAGTAGGCTGGGGGTGGGCAAGAGGCTGCGAGGGAATACAGCTGCGACAGCAGACCCCAACTGACCAGAGGGATATCCCACACCATATGGCAGTGTGCTCAGCAATAAAAGTTGGGGGAAGGAAGGGCGGGAAATGTTTGGAGTTACAGCGTTTGTCTTCCCAAGTCACAGTTACACGTGATGAAGCCCTGCTTTCCTGGAGGTGGCTAAACATCTGCCTGCCAATGGGAAGTAGTAAATGAATTCCTTAGTTTGCTTTGCTTTCACAACTTTTTGCTTCTGCAACTTTTTGCTTTACCTATTAAATTGTCTTTATCTCAACCCATGTGTTTTGTCACTTTTACCCTTCCAATTCTCTCCCCCATTCCACTAGGAATGAGTGAGCAGCTGTGTGGTGTTGAGGTGCTTACCAGGGTTAACCCACAGCCCTATGACATCTTGTGTATTAATTGCTTGGCTATTAGTTGCTTTGGTATTAATTTAGATGATATACATAGATACTACTTGTTTGGTACAAGTTTTGATTACTAAGATTTCCTGTAGATGATTTAAAGTATATTTATTTTAGTTGGGTGTTTGTTCGGGTTTTTTTTTCCAGAGACAACAAATCGTCTAGCTTCTTATCAACCTATTGCTGTCCTCAGCCCAACATAATGGTGGAAAAAGCATTTTTGTGCACAATCACAGGCTTTATAATTCCTGAGAAGATAATTCAGTTATTGGAGCAGCTGTGGTAAGGGCCGACAGGAGTACATTACTAAAACACTTGTTAATTTTCGAACACTTTTTAATTTTCAAAATAACTTTTAAATACTTCTTTTCAGTAGCGCTGTTGGAGGTAAATAGCAAAATATACAAAATGAAGACTTTTTTTTTTAATGAGCTGGAAACTTAACATCGGTATAAAAAAAGCAATAAACAATTTTGGATACTTCAAATTTGAAAATGCCTGCCCTATATTCTAGCAATGACTTTGCTTTTTATCTTTATTTCTAAGAAACAGTGGCTCAACTGAGCTCCTACATTTTTCAAATTCCCTCTGTCTATGAAAATCAGATGCCCTCAAATATGTCTAATTTAGTATTTTTAACTACTGACGGAAAATATGATTGAAATCCCCTTATGATACCAAAAAGAATATTACAAGGTACTTCAAGGTTATTACAGCATTACAATAAATTAAGTTACAGTGAGTTTTTTGAATCAAGTGTTGTTACATGAACGGGGTAGCTGTAGTTCTAATTCAATACCAAACTACATGATACTAGTGTATCATGGACCAGTGTGGTATCTGCCTGTATTGTATATTAGTGCTACTGATAGCAAATTCTGGAAGCTCCTTGCTCCATGTGTGAGGCAATTCTTGAAGTGCCTGGTGGCTAACGATTGTAGGACTGACTCATGACAATATTTCTGTTGCTTTATCTGGAATATGATCATTACTCTGAGCAATTTTCAAATCTCATGCAGAAAGCCTCCCTAGGCTAGGGTTGGAGCAGAAATTTCCTGGCTTTTATTCTCTACTTAAGAGCAGTGGATAATGTCTGGCTTGGATTATTTGTAATCCATTTCCTTTCTGGTGGTAAAAGTATTTGTGTCAAGCATAGCCTGACTGTTTCTTCCTCCTATGTCTTTTTTGCCCCGATAGCAACTGTTCTCAGTAAATGTTCTATTTTCTGAAAGACAATGTATGCTATAGGAAATTCAGAACAGGTACTTTACAACTTAGAACTTTTTCTAGTTGCTATAACTTGCAGGTTTGCCATGTCTAAAAGTATGGTAGGAATAATCAAGAGTCAATCTTATTTCATCTCCTAATGTCTTCTGATAGAATATTTTCTTTTGAATTTATTTATTATGTACTAAAGCAGGTCTAACTGTTAATTATAAATTTTCACTGAAGTGCCTGTCTTTGATTTTTTTTTTTCCTTTTTTTTTTTTAAATTTTATATCATATACTTGAACATGCTGTCCGTTCCATTATAATTATTGATTACCTTGTCCTCTTCCTTGCAGTTGCTATTTTGGTGAACCAAAACTGGCACATTGGCTGACATTGACTGTGCACGGCTTTGCAGACAGCCCTGTTTCCTGGAGAGAAAGTGAACATGGTTTTCACAAGGGAGGAGAGAACTTGTACAACTTTGTCATTTTTAGAAATCTGGACTACTGGCTTCAGATGGCTGTAGGAACTAATGATGATTGTCCTCCATAAAGCTATGTCTACAGAAGAAGTTTTCTAATAATCCCGTGTTACTGTATAAGAACCTAATAAGATAGTTTTTATAAAAGTAATTAGGTAACAAGTTAAGTACTAAGAGGCTGTGTATGTTTTTCTGTTACTTACAGCCCTTAAAGGATGACCTACAATGGAAGGAATGGATTTTTGTTTCTTCACTGTCATACAGTGCCTTCTGAAAGACTTCACAATTCTAGCTTTAAGAAGAAGATATGTTTTTGAGAGTTTAAGTTCTTAGACTGTAAGTGGTTTCCTTTTATCCAGGAGTAATTTTGGAATTTGAAATTTAGTTTTCCGGATTGCTAGCTAAAATATTTGAGAGGAAAGGTCATTTTGGGACTTAGTGTTTCTTTCTTTACACTAAAGATCTGTAAAACCTTCAAATTCATATTTAAGACATTTCAGCCTACATGCTGGCAAATAAAAAAAAAAAAAGATGTGTTCTCTGTAATTTGGTAAGGGGAAGAGAAAAATGGTGAGGAGGAGGAGGTACGTGATAGTGGGAGGAGCACCCATTGAACATGGAAAAAGTAAAGGCTTACCAACCTGCTTTTTGGATTCTGCAGATCACAGTTGGTTATTGGAAAGACGTTGATTTTTCACAGTGATGCAAAAGGCTGCTGCTTGCTATCTTAATTGACCTACACACACTCACACCCCCATCAAATACCTACTTTTAAAAGTAGCTTGTGGTTCTTACTTACATGACAACCCGTGGGGCTAAGATTTCACTGTCATGTTACTGCAGACACGTTTCTGGGAAGAATGCTATGGACATACCCTCAAACAATGCAGTTGAAGTGAAACAGGTTTTGTTAACAATAAGCAGTAATGCTGAGAGCATAGGCAGCCATAAAGAGTCCAGGTTAACTCCTGTTGAAATCCGTGAAAGGTTGGATGGTGGTTTGGGGGAGGCGTGGATGGGCGATACTTGGTTTTTGTTTTAGGGAGTGGGTATGTATCATTAAAGTACCAATGCAGTGGTAAAATGGAAGTTGATGGAGCGAGAGATTGGTAGTGAAAGTTAGGGCATAACTGTAGTGGAAACATCAAGATACCCTGTCAGGGTGAGTGGCACAGTAAAGCAGAAAGCCCATGGGAAGCTTTTCTTTTTTTATCTCTTTATGGGTTCTCTTCAGTGAGGAGAATCATCCTGGATGATTTACTGGATGGTATTTGTTTGTCATACACCTCCCCTGAACATAACCCTTTTGCTCAAGTTTTGTTACATGTTTCACAAACACAACTCTGACAAATCAGCAAACAGTTTTCTAAATCGTTATGTTGTTTTTCAAAACTACCCTGCCATGAGATGTTTCTGGTAGGTTACCAGTAGCAGAAGTGCCACCTTATCACATGTACAGACATAGACTCACACAATCACAAACTGAATGGACGAGAGTCTGGGAAAGTTATTGGCTTGACACTTGACTAGTAAATATTTAACATGGCTTGCTCAAACATTATGTTTCATTACTATGCATCAGTGCAAATGGCTTCAGTTGTTGGCTGAAGTCTGCTTTTGAAAGTGTCTGTTGATGGATTATGCCACATGTCAACTTTCACGAAAGAGACTAGTAACCAGAAGTGTCTTCCTTTTTCCCCTTGATTAGAAGGTATCTTAAAAGCTTGGGCATTTCCTGGAAGTTACACTGCAGCAAAAGTATGAATACAAAGTTAAAAAACTTAAATCTGTATGAAAAGTTGGATGAAGTTTGTAGCCACTCCAGCAAATGTGCTCATCTTTCTGTCAGATTGTAGTAAAACTAACTTTTTCCCCCACAATGTGTATACACACACACAAACAAGTGTAATGTATACTGCTTGGAAAAAAAACCAACTGCCATCCAGAAGAATCTTGTATTGGTGGGTTTGTTTCCCTTGTTAACTGTGAGAAGGGAGTGAAGTCTTATGCATATGCTTTATAATACTCCCAGCAGGAGTGCAGCAGCTATTGGCCTTGGCTCTGAAGTGGCAGCAGTAGGACCAGGTGAAACGGTTTTTCTAATTGGCACCTGGTTGCAGAGCACCTTGGGATCGTTGATGAAATAGCTGCTGCAGAAGTGCTGGTGGGTACATGGTGATAGCCTCACTGAGACAGTTCTGGAAGGCAAGCTGAGAAGCAGGCATTTCAGCTCTATCAGTTCTCAGCATGTGAGTATTAAGGTTAATCTTTTATGGATATCTAGGGAAATCTCATCAGATTGGTCAACAGCTCCTATCTACATAGGCAAGGGACTGTAAATATTTCTCAAAGCTCAGTGTTATAGGCAGAGTCATTTGGTTATGCTGCCTCCTACAATCCCTAGTTGTCTTCTGGTGGTTGATTCAAAATGGCTTTTCCAGTTAAGGAAGGGATTAAAATCCTGTCTCTGGATCTTGCAACTTACTTGAGATGCTGAGCTGGTTTCTGGCTTTTCTCCTTTTTCTTTAAATCTCCTGTACAAAGTATCATTGAAAACCTTGTGCTGTTAATACTCACTGCAGTTGGTCTACTCTTGGACCCTGTGAGATGATACTGCGTTAACCAGAGCCATGCTTTCCTAGCAAGGTCTGATGGTGCGCCTGCCTCTTAGGAGACCTGAGGCCCGCTTTCCTGTGCTTGCTGGGCTTTGCAGTTGCACAGAAGAGAAACTGGGGGGTGGAATTGACTTCTTTCTTACCACCTGCAAACAGCTGTGACCTGAGGGAAGATTTTGCTGGGGTGAGGGACAGCAGCCAGTTCCCTACTGTCTGTAAGGACAGATGGAGTACTCTGTCTCCCCAGGAGACTCCCAAGCATGGGGGAGACTCTTGCTGAGAAAAGGAACAAGAAGGCATTGCTTACATGCTTGGGGAACAGGTTAGGTGGGAAGAGCTGGCACTGGGCCAGGTGGGCAGTAATTCAGGGAAGAATTGGGCAGGGCACATGAGATGGAGATAAAAGTTTTTGCATGAGAATGAAAGATGGCTGCTGGTGGTGTTCTTGCCCTTTGTGCCTGCCTGTGAGGGAGGACAGGAAAATCCAAAAGATGCCTGAAAGCTGCAAAAGTAATGGGGAGCAGCTGTGCAGCAGCTGCTTCTGAGATCAAAGGGCTGGATGCTTACTAAGAAGTTTTGCCTCTGGGGAGTGTTTTATCTACCGTGGGGAAGGAGAGCCAAATATTTGAAGGTAGAGACAAGCCTGGGGCAAGCTGGTTGCATGAGAAGTAGAGGGTTTTGTTGTCCTGGTATGCGGACAGTGATAAGACACTCCTTGAGAGCTAGGGAATTGCTCTGCTTTAACCTCAGCCCTTCTACTGAGCTGTGCATTCCTGCCTCTCAGCTGGTGGAAGGAAAGGGAATTTTGTTGAGAGGTTACTGTGGGGTAGCAGAAACAGCTGGGAATGGGCTGCAAAGATCATGTGCTTTTCCAGCCATATGTTTGAGTAAGTGGTTATGTGTATTCAGAAATTGGTGAGTGGAACAAACAGAGAAAAAACTTTCATGGTGACAAAGGGGAGCTAAAAGCTGAGGCGCTTGGATAGCGTGTGTTATGCAAAATCGCTCTAAATAGAATATATTTGCCTTTTTGGTTTGCAAATGCTGACTGAGTCAGGAACCTGTCTGGAGAAATAAAGGTATGTGTCCTGTAATGGCAAGAATAAGAGCCTAACGGTAGAGATAGTATTTTGTGTGAGGAAGGGAATATTAGCATGGACTCTGAGAAAGTCAGAGATAAGGGTGAGAAAAAGAACTTTCACTGTCAGAATAGATTCTAGTGCTGTGGTTGCAGAGGGAAAGCAGCAAGTTTTGGCACAACTTAGATCTGGGGAATGCAGGAGAGACAAGAATGAGTGCTAATCTAAGGCTGCTTTGAAAGGGAGGTGACAGGGCTTAATGGAAGGAGAAGCATGAGCTTTGTTTTGGCTGCATCATGCTGTCGTTTGCTGGGGAATATCCATTTTGGAGAGGGTAGCCAAGATGTCAAGTTGGATGTCTGGAAAAAAGCCAAGGAGAAAACAGGTTCGTATGTCATCAGCCTGGGGATTGCATACCAATCGTGGGAGTGAGCGAGATTGTTCAAAGATGGGTTGTAATGTTTTTGTTGGAAATAATTTGTGGAAAAAAATTTATTATTCGTTATTATTAATTATTATAATATTATAGTAGTAGTATTATTTATTTTCCCCTGACTGGAAAAGGGGAATCATAACCCCCATTTTTAAAAAGGGAAAAAAGGAGGACCCGGGGAACTACAAGGCCAGTCAGTCTCACCTCTGTGCCTGGGAAGATCATGGAACAGATCCTCCTGGAAGCTATGCTAAGGCACATGGAGGACAGGGAGGTGATT